AATAATACCAAAACTGTGAATGTCTGAAATGAACATTGTGTGCATGATATCAAATGATTTGATTATGAATTTAGATTCAGTTTATATGGATGTTCGACGCATTAGATATGCTTACTCAGCTTTACCGCTGAGCGTGTAGTGTGTTTTATTTGCTACACGCAGGTAAGCAGAAAGCACAATGTGATCCTGGCGGCAGATGGGGCGAGATTGTCGGGATGGATGTGACAAGTTTTGAAACAATTTATGATATGTCAATATTAAAATCGCTTCCGCAATATTGTTGAATACTCCGTACTGTATATGTTATGAAAAATATTATTGGGATTAATAAAGTGTGTTTGAAAAGTTTTAAATTTTTACGATTACCAAGTTAAATACTTTAGTCCGAATGGGGCTGCAGACCTGGACGGATTAGGGTGTTACACCGCCATAGCGTGGTCGCTGTCGCACGTTGGGTTAGACTTAACTGAGTCTCGGTCAAATGGATGGACGACTCGGAGGCAGTAAGTTGGGGTCATCAATGACAAGTCGGATGATTTTACTCACTCATCCAGCCAGGAGTTGGATCTTTATGATTTAATTGGAACTCTATTCCTAACCAAAGTAGTCTGCTTGTAAGACGTGCCTCAGCCAATTACAAGTATGGTGAAAAGGTGTCCTAGTTCGGTTGTAGTAATATTGTTCGCCCAACACCAGACCAAGAGCTAAGAGCCCTTCTCATCAGTTGGAACTAGGTTCCTACCTAAATAGTTGTCTTGTGGAGTAACGCCCAAGCGGAACGCAAGATAATGAAATATGGATCTTGGCCCACTAGAGGTTTCGCCGGAAATCTCCGAATCAACATCGAGGGTTATTGATTTGTTAAAAATAGTGGGAGATAATTAATTAAAGGCCTAATTAATTATTAAACATGATAGATAACCTAGTTTGCAAAATTTTGTGTAGATGGCAAACAACAACAACCCTTTCTACCTGCGATATGTTCTAGAAAAGGAAAAATTATCTGGAACCAACTTTCTTGATTGGGAGATGAATCTTAAGATTGTTCTCGAATGCGAGAAAAAGCTCTACGTCCTTACCTCTGAGCCTCCAAAAGCTCCTGAAGCGAACGCCCGTGCTGCAGAAATTACTTCGTACAAGAAGTATGAAGATGACGCACGTGATGTGAGATGTCTCATGCTAGCCACCATGACTCCGGAGCTCCAAAGGCTCCATAAGGACATGGAAGCTCATCCTATGATGACTCGCTTGAAAGGTCTATACCAAGGCTAGGCTAGACATGAGCATTTCAAAATCTCTACGACTCTGTTTTCCAGTAAGCTGGCAACGGGTAACCCAGTTGGTCCCCACGTTCTCAAGATGATCGGTCAGATCGAAACTCTTGAAAAACTGGACGCCCCGTTGCACCCTATGCTGGCAACTGATCTCATCTTGGGATCATTACCAGCTGAGTATAGTCAAACTGTAGTGAACTTCTACATGAACAAACTAGAGATGACTATGCCTGAGCTACTGAAATTCCTCACAACTGCTGAGGAGAGTCTAGGGAAGGGCAAGGGTAAGTCTGTCCTGATGGTAGAGGGCAGTACTATTGCGAAGAAGAGTGGGCCACGTTCGCCGGCCGGGACCAAGCGCAAGGGTTCTAAGAAACCCAAGCCAGCGTCCAACTCCTCTTCGTTGAAACCCAAAGA